TTGTGGGGTAATTGCTGGTTAGGCAAAGCATTCTCCTTAGAGGCTGTAACCACAATCTTTCCCTCAAGTGTGTTTGGAGCTCAGAGAAAATATCTGTCTGACCAGAAAACCCCAAGGGGGGAAAAAAAAAAAAAAACTTAAAATGATATAAACTGATAGCATCCCAGAGTGTCTGGCAGAAGCAAACACAAATGCTGTCTGGATGGACTTACCCTCAACCTAGGGGTCACAGGATTTTAACAGATAAAGAACACCAAACATGAACTCACAATTTCAAATTCCAGAAACACACAAGGAAACAAGAGCCATGAGCAGGAGACAGGAGAAACCATAAATAGCAGAACTAGACTTCCAAAAAACTTAAGATAATGATTTATCAGATAAATAAAATTATATAAGTGCTTAGGCTAATTTTAAAATAGGCATAAACAATATGAGTTAGAAATAAGATTGTATTAAAAAAACTTAAATGGAATTGGAAAAGAAGCAAATAAAACTTCTAGAAATTAAAAATATGACAGAAATTAAAAGCAAAAATGGTCGTATTAAAAGGCAAATTACTCACAGCTGGAAAGGGAATTGATCAATTGCTTCTAAAGAAATTGTAGAGAGTGCAAAACAAAGAGATGGAAATGGTAAAGAGAGGTTAAGAGACTGGTAAAGAATAGAATGAGTCTGTTATACCTCTAATTAGATTTATAGACTTTTGTTCAACAACAGTTGAGGCTGGCTGGTTAGCTCAGTTGATTAGAGCAAGGAGTTACAACACCAAGGTCAAGGCTTTGGACCCTCATACTAGCCAGCTGCCAAAAAAAAAAAATCCCCCCAAAACAGAGTTTACCACTAACAGATCCTGTGTTGATATGTAACATATGAAAGAAATGCATAAAAAGTAAAGAAACTGTTAAATGCATGTAAAGCTACACATGCTGATTATGTGAAATAATTATGATTCCACGTTGGGCATTGCAATGGACTGAATGTTTGTCTTATCCCCAAATTCATTTATTGAAATTCTAACCACCAATGTGACGTTAGTAGGAGGTGGAAACTTTGGGAAGTGATGAGGTCATGAGGGTGGATCCATCATGAAATGGGATTAGTGCCCTCTTAAGGGGCTGAAGAGGCCAGAGTTCTTTTCCTTCTACCATGTGAGGACAGACAGTCTGCAGCCCAGAAAAGGGCCCTCACCAGAACCCAATCATACTGGCACCCTGATCTGGGCCTTCCAGCCTCCAGCACTGTGAGAAATAAATTTATGTTGTTTTCAAGCCATCTAGTCTATGGTGTTATGTCATAGTAGCCCAAAGTAACTAAAACCAGCCTTAAAAGTCAACATATAAATAAAATGCTGCCACACCCTAACGTGTAAGACAGGAACATTCTGTAGTACATGTGTTATTCAGTAGGAGGGAAAACATATAGATAACTTTAGGTAGTGTTAAATGTACATGGTAAAAAATTTTAAGAATAACCACTAAAAGGATAGAAATAAAAATCACAACTTCTAAAATAGTACAAGGGGAAAAATGACCAATCTAAAATTTACAAGAAAATATATGGGTAAAAATTTAGGAAACAGAAGATGAAAGCAATGCACAAAATAAATGTTAGAAATATATTTCTTTCTTTCTTTTTTTTTTGCATCTGGCTGGTACAGGAAACCAACCCTTGACCTTGGTGTTACAAGGCTGCACTCTGACCAAGTGAACTAACCAGCCAGCCCTCAAGTGTATGAGTAATCACAAATGTAGAGAGGCATAATATACCATCCTAAAAAAAAAAAAAAAAAAAAAAAAAA